TTGGTGGGCCAATGACTAGGGAAAGGACAAAGAGGATGAAAGAGGCTTTACAAGGCTTAATCATGAAAGTGCATGACAAAGAGGCTGTTCTAGAAGATTCTAAGACTATTCTAGAAGTTTCCAAAGCTTCACCAAGGATAATCACCTATCTTTATGTGCAAGACGATGTGCAAGGCTTGGATCTTGAAGAACAAAGCTTGGAATTCATGACATAAGATATATTGATGGGCTTGGCGCATGGACATGATAAGAAAAGTCCCAATTCACATGCTAAGATGTATTGATGGGCTTGTTTTGTCTTGTTTTATATTACTTTGACTTTTCTATGCTTAGTTGTCATTAGTTGTAGTCTTTTAGAAGGATTCCTATTTCAAAGCAGATTTGTTTTCCTAAATTAAAGGGATCATCATTAGTTAGGAGTTTCCTTATAAGATAATGATGTTTATATGCCTATATAAAGGCCACAACTATGTAAAACGAAAATCATCAATAAAATAGAGGTATTTTCAGCAAGTTTACCTTTGCCTTCTTGTGTTCTTGGCATAATACAATATCTTGACTTATCAAGGGAGTGATCAACCTTTGTGGCGTCTTCAAGATTGGATTCTTAAAGGACTTAGTTTCCTTAAGGTTCTAATCTGATCAATTACAACTTGTTTTCTAGCTTCTGGGTGTGCACAACAAACTTGATTCAAGAGTTCCTAGAGCAAGTCATCTAGTGGGTTCTTATCACTTGTAGGTAAGAGACATCTTCTTTAGAATTTTTTCGGTGTTCTTGTTTGCAGCCTCTACTACTCCCATTCATTTGAGGTTGATGGTGAGTGTCGAATCCAACCAAAGATAAATAGTCTTGCTCTACTTAAATAATTTGTAGATAGTGATGAGCAAGGTCGTCTCCACAGGGATTGGGTGGATTTATTTCCAAGTAATTGAAGTAGGGGGGTTGTGCAGATAAGAAAAATAAGATGAAATAAGGAAAATAACAGGAAATAATAGAAAGCAAGAGATCAAATCGATGAGAGGTAGCTTCCAATTGAAGGGACAAGTTCAACTTTGATTCTTATCATTGATCATCGATGCAAAGATAAATTCATATGTTTACGAATAAATTGGTTATAGCCATTAACAAGCTCTAACAGCYAGCCTCTACTCATATTATTTGACAACCAAAGAAGCTCTTTGATTGCTTCTCTTATTAGTAGACAGTCCTAAACAAGCTCTTAGGATTTAATCTATTAATAGCATTAAGAGGGGAGAGACCCAATTCTGGTTAGTGATCTCACAAGCTCGGACCGTTTAAACTAGATCATACACTTTCCTAACATAGATCGAAAACTTTTTTGCAATCAATTTTTATTAGTTGCCACCATGATTGAACCTACCAATCATATACGAAATTGGAAGTTCAATCGGCTATAGATTATTTGCTTTGAATGAGCAAGGGGCCCTTCTTGCTTAATCAATAAAAATAATCCTCACAGTTAATCGCAGAAAACATATGAATACCCATAAACAATGAACTGACATAAGAATCAATTA